TTCCAGTATTACAGATGATGGTGCTTTTGATGGGGAACAAAAATCCTCCGAAGAATCCAAAGATCCTTGGTGCTTCCAGCAGTGATGCCACGTGTGTCCCTTTCACTTAGAACTGCTAAGAAAATGGATACGTTCAGAACGTGCTAATAAAAATTAACTTAGGTGCTGAAGTGAATGGCTTTGACTCTTTTTTCTCCTCCTGAGGTCTAAATACCCCAGGACTGAGATTCGCTAAGCGCTGCAGAGGAATGAGTGCTGGCCTTTGCTACTCAGAAAAGAAAACGGTGTTTCAAAGCTCTGAATGGAGCAGGGAAGACTTTTCAAAAGGCGCTGTTTCGAGAACTGTCTTGGATTTTTCTGCTCCAAAATAGATAGGATGGATAAGATAACCAGGCGTGGTCGTAGCAAAAGCAGAAAAGATTCCTTGAGAATGACCTTGAGAATAACCAGGCAGAATAACTGCCTTTGAAGGGATGGGCTCTGAGTGGTCCTGCAGAAGACGGTAAGGTAAAGTTCACACATTGGCAAACTGCTCCAAGCCTTTTGTTTAGTTTCAGCATTTCGGTTCAAAATTCGGAACTCCAGAAGGCTGCACCCAGTGAAACTAACAGAGAGTGGTATTCAAACAAAGCGGTTGTCAACACGGACCTGATGAGCTTTTGGAAATCTTTTTCAGAAGCTGCAACCGAGGCCAGGAGCTCAAAAGGATTACAAGTGCTAAGGCAAATGGAAACAGATAACGAATGCATCCAGAATCACAGCAGCAACTTAATGCATACCTGCTGCTTTCGTCACTACAAGGAAATTTTCATCTTTCACAAGCACGTGGTGTGGGTCACTTCCTGGCAACCATTTCCTCATGAACAGAAAAACAACATTTCTCTTTTTATGTGATGAACAAACAGTAAATCCAACATTTGAAAACGATAACAACAAAGAAACGATCAGTAGCTCTACTTCAGTGATCCATTGTGGCTTCATGAACATGTATGGGGGGATGACTGCAAGGATTTTGCCTTCCCAGCTCCCGGCGCATCTTACTGCAGACATACAAGGAGCAGAGGGTTTTTTCTCCTTTTATCTTTTTTTGTATGTGTGGGCAGGAGATGTAAGAGAGTTCTTTCTGACTTTCCACAAGCCTTTGCTATGAAATGCTGCTATGAGAGGCTGTGTGCCAAGCGCAGCAACGCTGAAAGAACGCTTAACAAGCTTAATTTAGAAAACGTATCCGCTCCATAAGGACATGAGATAAATGAGAAGTATCAGACAGCGTGAGTCGACCTTCTCAGAAGGAACCTGGTTTGGAACGTGATTTCTTTATTATGTGTTTGGCAAACTAACAAACCTTCTTTATTCTTACTGTTCTTTTGAACCATACTGAGGATATAAGGCCACAGACACAAGCGCTTAGTGCTGACGCCTAGACTTATGCAGCTTCTAATTCACTTTCGTTATCTAATAGTGGCTACAAGTGAATTTAATCACCGTTCCAAAAGTGGAGAACAAAGCAGGATGACCCAGCGATGAAGAACAGCCAGTTGCATCCCATGCAGTCCTGTGGTCGCTCCAGCGCCTGGGGTGGGTTCTGCTGCTGCTCCAGTCCTTGCAACGCATCCTGTGGCTGCTCCAGTCCCTGCAACAGGCCCTTGTAATGGACCTGTGGGTGCCGTGACCCTCCTAAAGTGCCCCGCAGCCGCCATGACCCTGGCAGCGAGCCTTGTGGTCGCTCCAATCCCTATCATAAGTCCGGCAGTTCAACCAGAACCAACCAGTGCCTGCGACTGTTGTCTCCTTTAAGCAAGAAGAAAAATGTCTACAAAAGCCAGGATGTTTAACAAGGGGAGAAGCTCGCAAGGTGGAGCAAGGCCATGACTAAAATGGCAGGAGAAAGAGAAAGAAACTGGAAACACCCTGACTCCTAACATTAAGGGAACTATGAGATGTGCAAAAAGATTACAGCTGTTGGCCAGCTGAGCACCGCACGCATACAAAGGTGGAAGCAACCACCGGATGGCTGGGAACAGACCCCATGCACACTCCTACAGCCCAGAGTACTATCCTGGGCCCTGACAAGCAAAGTGTGCCTTCTCGTGACATGGCACCCCGGAATGAACTGCGTCAGACAACAGGACTCATTTCTGAAGCAATCTCATGATCACCTGGGCAAAAGGAACACAGCACTGAGCTGGCTGGCATATCACATCCCCTGCCACACAGCATCTGGAAAAATCAGGTGATACGTTGGCCTACGAAAGACTGCTACTAAGAGCCATTCAAGCACTGGGACGCGTCTTCTGCAAAAGCCGCCTGGTGAGTCAGCAGTCGGGGATCTGCCAGTGGGGCTGGTCCTGTCCAATGAGACGCTCTGTGTGCCACAGAAAGGGGACAAAGGCTCCGTGGTGCACGTAAAGAACGTGCTGAGCAAGGCAGTCTGGATTATTCCTGCCTCAATTTGTGGGATTACTTTTTCTGAAGGACCTGCGGGCACGTGGTGGGTAAAGCAGGATGGGGGGTGTCTGTTGTGTACCCCAAAGGGATTTGATGCTGTGTAAGAATAAACGAAGATACATATCGTGTATCAGCTGCTACACAATACCGCGTGCCATCATCGCTATGGTTGTTACAGGGCTCAACAACACCGTTACAATTAGAACCACTCCAGCTGAAGAACGAATTCTGATGAAGCCCGAACTAGCTTAGCAGGCAGAAATCCAGCAACAGATGCTCCCTTGTGTACTGAAGGACTGCTATGACAGATAGAGCCTGAAATCGTGAGTTAAATGAACTTCATGCACAGACAATTTACACGGATAGACCACAGACTATGGGAATTAGATGGGTGCACACATCAAAAAGTAAGACAGGAGATAGTATATAGTTAGGACGTATAAGATTATTACGAGACCTCCGCATAACATAAATGGGACAGGACACGGGGTGGATATCGCCTTGGTTTCATCAGGGACAGAGCACTGTTTCTTCAGAGTGGCTGGTACGATGACACGCTTTGGAGAAGTACAACACTGATAACACACCGTCAGTTGTTACGGAGGAGTTGTGAACGAGTGAACAGTGCTCCTTTCCTCAGCTTCTCCTAGCGTTCAGGAAGAGGGCTAGGAGCAGCACAGGGAGCTGGGACAGAATCAGGACAGCTGACCTAAATCTGGCCAAGGCAACATTCCATGCCACGCCACCCTATGCCATGGTACCTAAGGAAAGTTTGAAAAAGTTCCAGAGGGCAACTGGTGCGTGGGGACTGGCTGGGCATCAGTGGGGCCGAGCAATTGTGTGGGCATCAGTTGCTATTCATAAATACACGAGTGTATGTATCGTAGCCATTCTCCACTTCTCCCTTTCTTTTGTCTACATTAGGAAATTGTTTTTAACCTCAGTCCACCACTTCTACTGGATCCCCCTCCACCCAGACTCTACTCCTACGCCATGGTGAGCAGGGGAGATAGCTAGAAAGTGCCTAGGGATAAAGTTCCTGCCAAATTAAACAACTCTTCAGAGAAGCAAAATTACCAAAATGACCACTGAGCAGGGCAGAATGTGCAATAAGATCACGTTCAAAGAAAGAGAAGGGGTAAAGCACCACCAGAGACAAACACACTAAGAGTTGCTGGGAAACCACTCACAGATACCAGCCACGAGCACATCCCATTCACCCAAAAATCCTAGCCGTTGCCAGACAACAATGAAAACATGCAAAGGAAAAGAGCTCAGCACAAGTGTCCCTGGAACTGAGGCAGCTTGCTTGGCTGAAAACCTAACCCTGAGACCACGTGCAATAGGACAAGGGAGAGATCAAGAGAAGAGCTCTGCCATATAAGTCACCACCAAACCCCAAACATAACCCACAAAAACCTCAGCTGAGACAAAAGGATTTTCCTCATGGATGGAGAAAAGAAACAAACGGCTGGCTGGCAATACAAACACAATGAATCAGCTTCAAGCAGCAAAAGCAGCATAACAGAAAACAAAAATGGAACTCACGCTGGAGACAAAAAGCAAACATCATTGAAACAAAAAAAAGCAACATTTATTCCAAAATGTCAAAGTAGGGAAGAGGAGGCAACAAAAGAGCAACACACACATTCAACTGTGGCTTTGACAGATTAATTGATTGAGCATGACAATAAAAACAATGTCGTTCTTGCTGACTCCTGCCTCCCGCGTTCCCACGCCGCTTCTCCTTCTCTCTTCCGCAGCGGCTCCTGAAACAGCAGCGGGGACACCGTTAGAGCTGCGCAGCGGCAAGCCCCCCACCGGAAGGAAAAGGGAAACCAACCCAACATGGCGGAGGAACTCGGCACGCCACCGCCCAGCCAAGGAAGGCCTTGCATCCCCCCTCCCCGGTTCACGCCAGCAAGAAATACTTGCAGCAGCTTTTCTCACCTCGCGGGCGCACGGCGCGCTTCCAGCCGGTGCTGCGGGGGATCACAGAGGCGGGCAGACTGGGCAAATGGAGCTGGGCACACACACAGCAGCGGCCAAAGAGTCAGCTTCCCTGCTTACAGGGGACCCCCGGCCACTGCCTCCATTGCAAAGGGCCTGGGACACTGCGGGGCACTGTCGCTCCCTGGCTTACAGGGCAGCCCCCATCCCTAGCGGCCGCGGGAGGCTCCTTCTCTCCCAGTCCGGGGGCACCTGGACCCGCACCCCGCTAGCGGGGCGGTCACCCCACACAGGCTGCCAGCCGAGCACAAGCGCTCGCGCACCCAGAGCCTGATTACAGGCGGGTGGACGACACCCCTGGAGCCACAGAGCTCGGTTTCCCCCCCAGCGGCGGGAGCGACTCTCAGCTGCCAGGCAGCGGGGCGGCACGGCCAAATGCCGCGGTCGGGACCCCAGCCCTGATTGCGGGGAGGGCGCAAGCCCAAGCCCACGTCTCGCGGCCCCGTGCCTCTGAAAGGCCGGGGCCACATTCCCGCCTGAGTACAGGGGGTCTCTCACAACGCACCTCACCAAGCAAGCACACGCGGGGTGGCACGCGCAGCCCTGCCTACAGGACGGTGCCCCCGCCGCCCACCCTCACCTAGAAGCCCCGCGGAGCACGAGGCTCCCGCCAACGCCTGAGCTACAGGCTGGCCCGCCCGGCAGCAGCACAACAGCACCAACCTCTCGTCTCTGGGAACCCAGGGAGCAACCTCGACCCACCGAGCGGGGAGGTCGCCCCACACGCAAAAGCAGCGCCTCAACCTGCACCCTCTGACGGGACAGGGAGGGGTCATTCCCACCAGCTGGATGGCTAGAGCAGCCGGCTGCAACGCCGCAGCCTCCCCACGCCTGATTACAGGGCGGGCGGGCCGCTCGGGGGACAGAGGGCTCCGCAGCTTGGGACACACGCCCCGGCTACGGGGCTGTCACGCCGCCAGCGGAACAGGCGCCCACGCAAGAACAGGCCCAAGCCCTGGCTACAGGGCGGCCTCGGCCACACAGCTACCACGTGGCCCTGATCTACACCAAGTGCAAAGGAGGAAGACAGGACACTCGCTGCGCTCGCGGGACTGAGAGGGAACACCCCTTTTGCGGCGTGCACCACAGTCCTCCGTTCCCCCCAGGGAAGTCGAAGCTAAGCTGCAGCCATCTTTGTGGGGGCCTAAAGGGAAAGCGCAGTCGCTCTCTCACTCCACAAACACAAGCAAGGAAAGGAAGGGCAACGCGCACACACAGAGGCGACTTTCCCAAAGGGAAGGACAACCCAGCGCAGCCAAACCCTGGGAATAAACCCACAACCGCGGGCAACAGACAAGAGCCTGTGACCTGTCCCTAGCCTGCACGGAGGCCACAGACCTCAACGTGCCAAGGGGCTTCCCAGCTAAAGCCAAAGGCCAGATGCCGTGACGCACACCCCGAGTACGGGGCCGTCGCACTGACAGGCCACCTCCAGGCAACGATGATGCCGAGGGGCCGGAGGAGGAAGAGGGCCGGGGAAACGGCACTACCCTGCTTACAGGGTGGCCTCGGGGTCCGGCGAGCTCCGTTTCCCACTCAGGTGCGGAGAGGTGGCTCTCGCCCTGCGTTACAGGGGCCCACGCTCCCCAGGCAGCCAAAGGAGCAGCAAGGCAAAAGGCCAACTACAGCAAAAGCAAAGACCCGAGCCCTGCTTACAGGGAGGTCGCCCAGCACAAAGCCGGCCAAGGCGCCGGCAACGCTCAAACTCCAATGGGACTGAATGTGACTGCGGCCCCGCTAACGGGACGGCTGCTTTGCCCAGGGAGCCTCTCTCCTTCCCCCCCGCGTCGGCACGCTTCCGCATCCTCTTCTCGCTTGCTTGCTCGCTCGCTCGCTTGCTTGCGCGCTCGCTCCTGCCTCCCGCGTTCCCACGCCGCTTCTCCTTCTCTCTTCCGCAGCGGCTCCTGAAACAGCAGCGGGGACACCGTTAGAGCTGCGCAGCGGCAAGCCCCCCACCGGAAGGAAAAGGGAAACCAACCCAACGTGGCAGAGGAACTCGGCACGCCACCGCCCAGCCAAGGAAGGCCTTGCATCCCCCCTCCCCGGTTCACGCCAGCAAGAAATACTTGCAGCAGCTTTTCTCACCTCGCTGGCGCACGGCGCGCTTCCAGCCGGTGCTGCGGGGGATCACAGAGGCGGGCAGACTGGGCAAATGGAGCTGGGCACACACACAGCAGCGGCCAAAGAGTCAGCTTCCCTGCTTACAGGGGACCCCCGGCCACTGCCTCCATTGCAAAGGGCCTGGGACACTGCGGGGCACTGTCGCTCCCTGGCTTACAGGGCAGCCCCCATCCCTAGCGGCCGCGGGAGGCTCCTTCTCTCCCAGTCCGGGGGCACCTGGACCCGCACCCCGCTAGCGGGGCGGTCACCCCACACAGGCTGCCAGCCGAGCACAAGCGCTCGCGCACCCAGAGCCTGATTACAGGCGGGTGGACGACACCCCTGGAGCCACAGAGCTCGGTTTCCCCCCCAGCGGCGGGAGCGACTCTCAGCTGCCAGGCAGCGGGGCGGCACGGCCAAATGCCGCGGTCGGGACCCCAGCCCTGATTGCGGGGAGGGCGCAAGCCCAAGCCCACGTCTCGCGGCCCCGTGCCTCTGAAAGGCCGGGGCCACATTCCCGCCTGAGTACAGGGGGTCTCTCACAACGCACCTCACCAAGCAAGCACACGCGGGGTGGCACGCGCAGCCCTGCCTACAGGACGGTGCCCCCGCCGCCCACCCTCACCTAGAAGCCCCGCGGAGCACGAGGCTCCCGCCAACGCCTGAGCTACAGGCTGGCCCGCCCGGCAGCAGCACAACAGCACCAACCTCTCGTCTCTGGGAACCCAGGGAGCAACCTCGACCCACCGAGCGGGGAGGTCGCCCCACACGCAAAAGCAGCGCCTCAACCTGCACCCTCTGACGGGACAGGGAGGGGTCATTCCCACCAGCTGGATGGCTAGAGCAGCCGGCTGCAACGCCGCAGCCTCCCCACGCCTGATTACAGGGCGGGCGGGCCGCTCGGGGGACAGAGGGCTCCGCAGCTTGGGACACACGCCCCGGCTACGGGGCTGTCACGCCGCCAGCGGAACAGGCGCCCACGCAAGAACAGGCCCAAGCCCTGGCTACAGGGCGGCCTCGGCCACACAGCTACCACGTGGCCCTGATCTACACCAAGTGCAAAGGAGGAAGACAGGACACTCGCTGCGCTCGCGGGACTGAGAGGGAACACCCCTTTTGCGGCGTGCACCACAGTCCTCCGTTCCCCCCAGGGAAGTCGAAGCTAAGCTGCAGCCATCTTTGTGGGGGCCTAAAGGGAAAGCGCAGTCGCTCTCTCACTCCACAAACACAAGCAAGGAAAGGAAGGGCAACGCGCACACACAGAGGCGACTTTCCCAAAGGGAAGGACAACCCAGCGCAGCCAAACCCTGGGAATAAACCCACAACCGCGGGCAACAGACAAGAGCCTGTGACCTGTCCCTAGCCTGCACGGAGGCCACAGACCTCAACGTGCCAAGGGGCTTCCCAGCTAAAGCCAAAGGCCAGATGCCGTGACGCACACCCCGAGTACGGGGCCGTCGCACTGACAGGCCACCTCCAGGCAACGATGATGCCGAGGGGCCGGAGGAGGAAGAGGGCCGGGGAAACGGCACTACCCTGCTTACAGGGTGGCCTCGGGGTCCGGCGAGCTCCGTTTCCCACTCAGGTGCGGAGAGGTGGCTCTCGCCCTGCGTTACAGGGGCCCACGCTCCCCAGGCAGCCAAAGGAGCAGCAAGGCAAAAGGCCAACTACAGCAAAAGCAAAGACCCGAGCCCTGCTTACAGGGAGGTCGCCCAGCACAAAGCCGGCCAAGGCGCCGGCAACGCTCAAACTCCAATGGGACTGAATGTGACTGCGGCCCCGCTAACGGGACGGCTGCTTTGCCCAGGGAGCCTCTCTCCTTCCCCCCCGCGTCGGCACGCTTCCGCATCCTCTTCTCGCTTGCTTGCTCGCTCGCTCGCTTGCTTGCGCGCTCGCTCCTGCCTCCCGCGTTCCCACGCCGCTTCTCCTTCTCTCTTCCGCAGCGGCTCCTGAAACAGCAGCGGGGACACCGTTAGAGCTGCGCAGCGGCAAGCCCCCCACCGGAAGGAAAAGGGAAACCAACCCAACGTGGCAGAGGAACTCGGCACGCCACCGCCCAGCCAAGGAAGGCCTTGCATCCCCCCTCCCCGGTTCACGCCAGCAAGAAATACTTGCAGCAGCTTTTCTCACCTCGCTGGCGCACGGCGCGCTTCCAGCCGGTGCTGCGGGGGATCACAGAGGCGGGCAGACTGGGCAAATGGAGCTGGGCACACACACAGCAGCGGCCAAAGAGTCAGCTTCCCTGCTTACAGGGGACCCCCGGCCACTGCCTCCATTGCAAAGGGCCTGGGACACTGCGGGGCACTGTCGCTCCCTGGCTTACAGGGCAGCCCCCATCCCTAGCGGCCGCGGGAGGCTCCTTCTCTCCCAGTCCGGGGGCACCTGGACCCGCACCCCGCTAGCGGGGCGGTCACCCCACACAGGCTGCCAGCCGAGCACAAGCGCTCGCGCACCCAGAGCCTGATTACAGGCGGGTGGACGACACCCCTGGAGCCACAGAGCTCGGTTTCCCCCCCAGCGGCGGGAGCGACTCTCAGCTGCCAGGCAGCGGGGCGGCACGGCCAAATGCCGCGGTCGGGACCCCAGCCCTGATTGCGGGGAGGGCGCAAGCCCAAGCCCACGTCTCGCGGCCCCGTGCCTCTGAAAGGCCGGGGCCACATTCCCGCCTGAGTACAGGGGGTCTCTCACAACGCACCTCACCAAGCAAGCACACGCGGGGTGGCACGCGCAGCCCTGCCTACAGGACGGTGCCCCCGCCGCCCACCCTCACCTAGAAGCCCCGCGGAGCACGAGGCTCCCGCCAACGCCTGAGCTACAGGCTGGCCCGCCCGGCAGCAGCACAACAGCACCAACCTCTCGTCTCTGGGAACCCAGGGAGCAACCTCGACCCACCGAGCGGGGAGGTCGCCCCACACGCAAAAGCAGCGCCTCAACCTGCACCCTCTGACGGGACAGGGAGGGGTCATTCCCACCAGCTGGATGGCTAGAGCAGCCGGCTGCAACGCCGCAGCCTCCCCACGCCTGATTACAGGGCGGGCGGGCCGCTCGGGGGACAGAGGGCTCCGCAGCTTGGGACACACGCCCCGGCTACGGGGCTGTCACGCCGCCAGCGGAACAGGCGCCCACGCAAGAACAGGCCCAAGCCCTGGCTACAGGGCGGCCTCGGCCACACAGCTACCACGTGGCCCTGATCTACACCAAGTGCAAAGGAGGAAGACAGGACACTCGCTGCGCTCGCGGGACTGAGAGGGAACACCCCTTTTGCGGCGTGCACCACAGTCCTCCGTTCCCCCCAGGGAAGTCGAAGCTAAGCTGCAGCCATCTTTGTGGGGGCCTAAAGGGAAAGCGCAGTCGCTCTCTCACTCCACAAACACAAGCAAGGAAAGGAAGGGCAACGCGCACACACAGAGGCGACTTTCCCAAAGGGAAGGACAACCCAGCGCAGCCAAACCCTGGGAATAAACCCACAACCGCGGGCAACAGACAAGAGCCTGTGACCTGTCCCTAGCCTGCACGGAGGCCACAGACCTCAACGTGCCAAGGGGCTTCCCAGCTAAAGCCAAAGGCCAGATGCCGTGACGCACACCCCGAGTACGGGGCCGTCGCACTGACAGGCCACCTCCAGGCAACGATGATGCCGAGGGGCCGGAGGAGGAAGAGGGCCGGGGAAACGGCACTACCCTGCTTACAGGGTGGCCTCGGGGTCCGGCGAGCTCCGTTTCCCACTCAGGTGCGGAGAGGTGGCTCTCGCCCTGCGTTACAGGGGCCCACGCTCCCCAGGCAGCCAAAGGAGCAGCAAGGCAAAAGGCCAACTACAGCAAAAGCAAAGACCCGAGCCCTGCTTACAGGGAGGTCGCCCAGCACAAAGCCGGCCAAGGCGCCGGCAACGCTCAAACTCCAATGGGACTGAATGTGACTGCGGCCCCGCTAACGGGACGGCTGCTTTGCCCAGGGAGCCTCTCTCCTTCCCCCCCGCGTCGGCACGCTTCCGCATCCTCTTCTCGCTTGCTTGCTCGCTCGCTCGCTTGCTTGCGCGCTCGCTCCTGCCTCCCGCGTTCCCACGCCGCTTCTCCTTCTCTCTTCCGCAGCGGCTCCTGAAACAGCAGCGGGGACACCGTTAGAGCTGCGCAGCGGCAAGCCCCCCACCGGAAGGAAAAGGGAAACCAACCCAACGTGGCAGAGGAACTCGGCACGCCACCGCCCAGCCAAGGAAGGCCTTGCATCCCCCCTCCCCGGTTCACGCCAGCAAGAAATACTTGCAGCAGCTTTTCTCACCTCGCTGGCGCACGGCGCGCTTCCAGCCGGTGCTGCGGGGGATCACAGAGGCGGGCAGACTGGGCAAATGGAGCTGGGCACACACACAGCAGCGGCCAAAGAGTCAGCTTCCCTGCTTACAGGGGACCCCCGGCCACTGCCTCCATTGCAAAGGGCCTGGGACACTGCGGGGCACTGTCGCTCCCTGGCTTACAGGGCAGCCCCCATCCCTAGCGGCCGCGGGAGGCTCCTTCTCTCCCAGTCCGGGGGCACCTGGACCCGCACCCCGCTAGCGGGGCGGTCACCCCACACAGGCTGCCAGCCGAGCACAAGCGCTCGCGCACCCAGAGCCTGATTACAGGCGGGTGGACGACACCCCTGGAGCCACAGAGCTCGGTTTCCCCCCCAGCGGCGGGAGCGACTCTCAGCTGCCAGGCAGCGGGGCGGCACGGCCAAATGCCGCGGTCGGGACCCCAGCCCTGATTGCGGGGAGGGCGCAAGCCCAAGCCCACGTCTCGCGGCCCCGTGCCTCTGAAAGGCCGGGGCCACATTCCCGCCTGAGTACAGGGGGTCTCTCACAACGCACCTCACCAAGCAAGCACACGCGGGGTGGCACGCGCAGCCCTGCCTACAGGACGGTGCCCCCGCCGCCCACCCTCACCTAGAAGCCCCGCGGAGCACGAGGCTCCCGCCAACGCCTGAGCTACAGGCTGGCCCGCCCGGCAGCAGCACAACAGCACCAACCTCTCGTCTCTGGGAACCCAGGGAGCAACCTCGACCCACCGAGCGGGGAGGTCGCCCCACACGCAAAAGCAGCGCCTCAACCTGCACCCTCTGACGGGACAGGGAGGGGTCATTCCCACCAGCTGGATGGCTAGAGCAGCCGGCTGCAACGCCGCAGCCTCCCCACGCCTGATTACAGGGCGGGCGGGCCGCTCGGGGGACAGAGGGCTCCGCAGCTTGGGACACACGCCCCGGGTACGGGGCTGTCACGCCGCCAGCGGAACAGGCGCCCACGCAAGAACAGGCCCAAGCCCTGGCTACAGGGCGGCCTCGGCCACACAGCTACCACGTGGCCCTGATCTACACCAAGTGCAAAGGAGGAAGACAGGACACTCGCTGCGCTCGCGGGACTGAGAGGGAACACCCCTTTTGCGGCGTGCACCACAGTCCTCCGTTCCCCCCAGGGAAGTCGAAGCTAAGCTGCAGCCATCTTTGTGGGGGCCTAAAGGGAAAGCTCAGTCGCTCCGTCACTCCACAAACACAAACAAGGAAAGGAAGGGCAACACGCACACACAGAGGCGACTTTCCCAAAGGGAAGGACAACCCAGCGCAGCCAAACCCTGGGAATAAACCCACAACCGCGGGCAACAGACAAGAGCCTGTGACCTGTCCCTAGCCTGCACGGAGGCCACAGACCTCAACGTGCCAAGGGGCTTCCCAGCTAAAGCCAAAGGCCAGATGCCGTGACGCACACCCCGAGTACGGGGCCGTCGCATTGACAGGCCACCTCCAGGCAACGATGATGCCGAGGGGCCGGAGGAGGAAGAGGGCCGGGGAAACGGCACTACCCTGCTTACAGGGTGGCCTCGGGGTCCGGCGAGCTCCATTTCCCACTCAGGTGCGGAGAGGTGGCTCTCGCCCTGCGTTACAGGGGCCCACGCTCCCCAGGCAGCCAAAGGAGCAGCAAGGCAAAAGGCCAACTACAGCAAAAGCAAAGACCCGAGCCCTGCTTACAGGGAGGTCGCCCAGCACAAAGCCGGCCAAGGCGCCGGCAACGCTCAAACTCAAATGGGACTAAATGTGACTGCGGCCCCGCTAACGGGACGGCTGCTTTGCCCAGGGAGCCTCTCTCCTTCCCCCCCGCGTCTGCACGCTTCCGCATCCTCTTCTTGCTTGCTTGCTCGCTCGCTCGCTTGCTTGCGCGCTCGCTCCTGCCTCCCGCGTTCCCACGCCGCTTCTCCTCCTCTCTTCCGCAGCGGCTCCTGAAACAGCAGCGGGGACACCGTTAGAGCTGCGCAGCGGCAAGCCCCCCAGCGGAAGGAAAAGGGAAACCAACCCAACGTGGCAGAGGAACTCGGCACGCCACCGCACAGCCAAGGAAGGCCTTGCATCCCCCCTCCCCAGTTCACGCCAGCAAGAAATACTTGCAGCAGCTTTTCTCACCTCGCTGACGCACGGCGCGCTTCCAGCCGGTGCTGCGGGGGATCACAGAGGCGGGCAGACTGGGCAAATGGAGCTGGGCACACACACAGCAGCGGCCAAAGAGTCAGCTTCCCTGCTTACAGGGGACCCCCGGCCACTGCCTCCATTGCAAAGGGCCTGGGACTGCGGGGCACTGTCGCTCCCTGGCTTACAGGGCAGCCCCCATCCCTAGCGGCCGCGGGAGGCTCCTTCTCTCCCAGTCCGGGGGCACCTGGACCCGCACCCCGCTAGCGGGGCGGTCACCCCACACAGGCTGCCAGCTGAGCACAAGCGCTCGCGCACCCAGACCCTGATTACAGGCGGGTGGACGACACCCCTGGAGCCACAGAGCTCGGTTTCCCCCCCAGCGGCGGGAGCGACTCTCAGCTGCCAGGCAGCGGGGCGGCACGGCCAAATGCCGCGGTCGGGACCCCAGCCCTGATTGCGGGGAGGGCGCAAGCCCAAGCCCACGCCTCGCGGCCCCGTGCCTCTGAAAGGCCGGGGCCACATTCCCGCCTGAGTACAGGGGGTCTCTCACAACGCACCTCACCAAGCAAGCACACGCGGGGGGCACGCGCAGCCCTGCCTACAGGACGGTGCCCCCGCTGCCCACCCTCACCAAGAAGCCCCGCGGAGCACGAGGCTCCCGCCAACGCCTGAGCTACAGGCTGGCCCGCCCGGCAGCAGCACAACAGCACACCAACGTCTCGTCTTTGGGAACCCAGGGAGCAACCTCGACCCACCGAGCGGGGAGGTCGCCCCACACGCAAAAGCAGCGCCTCAACCTGCACCCTCTGACGGGACAGGGAGGGGTCATTCCCACCAGCTGGATGGCTAGAGCAGCCGGCTGCAACGCCGCAGCCTCCCCACGCCTGATTACAGGGCGGGCGGGCCGCTCGGGGGACAGAGGGCTCCGCAGCTTGGGACACACGCCCCGGGTACGGGGCTGTCACGCCGCCAGCGGAACAGGCGCCCACGCAAGAACAGGCCCAAGCCCTGGCTACAGGGCGGCCTCGGCCACACAACTACCACGTGGCCCTGATCTACACCAAGTACAAAGGAGGAAGACAGGACACTCGCTGCGCTCGCGGGACTGAGAGGGAACACCCCTTTTGCGGCGTGCACCACAGTCCTCCGTTCCCCCCAGGGAAGTCGAAGCTAAGCTGCAGCCATCTTTGTGGGGGCCTAAAGGGAAAGCTCAGTCGCTCCGTCACTCCACAAACACAAACAAGGAAAGGAAGGGCAACACGCACACACAGAGGCGACTTTCCCAAAGGGAAGGACAACCCAGCGCAGCCAAACCCTGGGAATAAACCCACAACCGCGGGCAACAGACAAGAGCCTGTGACCTGTCCCTAGCCTGCACGGAGGCCACAGACCTCAACGTGCCAAGGGGCTTCCCAGCTAAAGCCAAAGGCCAGATGCCCTGACGCACACCCCGAGTACGGGGCCGTCGCATTGACAGGCCACCTCCAGGCAACGATGATGCCGAGGGGCCGGAGGAGGAAGAGGGCCGGGGAAACGGCACTACCCTGCTTACAGGGTGGCCTCGGGGTCCGGCGAGCTCCATTTCCCACTCAGGTGCGGAGAGGTGGCTCTCGCCCTGCGTTACAGGGGCCCACGCTCCCCAGGCAGCCAAAGGAGCAGCAAGGCAAAAGGCCAACTACAGCAAAAGCAAAGACCCGAGCCCTGCTTACAGGGAGGTCGCCCAGCACAAAGCCGGCCAAGGCGCCGGCAACGCTCAAACTCAAATGGGACTAAATGTGACTGCGGCCCCGCTAACGGGACGGCTGCTTTGCCCAGGGAGCCTCTCTCCTTCCCCCCCGCGTCTGCACGCTTCCGCATCCTCTTCTTGCTTGCTTGCTTGCTTGCTTGCTTGCTTGCGCGCTCGCTCCTGCCTCCCGCGTTCCCACGCCGCTTCTCCTCCTCTCTTCCGCAGCGGCTCCTGAAACAGCAGCGGGGACACCGTTAGAGCTGCGCAGCGGCAAGCCCCCCAGCGGAAGGAAAAGGGAAACCAACCCAACGTGGCAGAGGAACTCGGCACGCCACCGCACAGCCAAGGAAGGCCTTGCATCCCCCCTCCCCAGTTCACGCCAGCAAGAAATACTTGCAGCAGCTTTTCTCACCTCGCTGACGCACGGCGCGCTTCCAGCCGGTGCTGCGGGGGATCACAGAGGCGGGCAGACTGGGCAAATGGAGCTGGGCACACACACAGCAGCGGCCAAAGAGTCAGCTTCCCTGCTTACAGGGGACCCCCGGCCACTGCCTCCATTGCAAAGGGCCTGGGACTGCGGGGCACTGTCGCTCCCTGGCTTACAGGGCAGCCCCCATCCCTAGCGGCCGCGGGAGGCTCCTTCTCTCCCAGTCCGGGGGCACCTGGACCCGCACCCCGCTAGCGGGGCGGTCACCCCACACAGGCTGCCAGCTGAGCACAAGCGCTCGCGCACCCAGACCCTGATTACAGGCGGGTGGACGACACCCCTGGAGCCACAGAGCTCGGTTTCCCCCCCAGCGGCGGGAGCGACTCTCAGCTGCCAGGCAGCGGGGCGGCACGGCCAAATGCCGCGGTCGGGACCCCAGCCCTGATTGCGGGGAGGGCGCAAGCCCAAGCCCACGCCTCGCGGCCCCGTGCCTCTGAAAGGCCGGGGCCACATTCCCGCCTGAGTACAGGGGGTCTCTCACAACGCACCTCACCAAGCAAGCACACGCGGGGGGCACGCGCAGCCCTGCCTACAGGACGGTGCCCCCGCTGCCCACCCTCACCAAGAAGCCCCGCGGAGCACGAGGCTCCCGCCAACGCCTGAGCTACAGGCTGGCCCGCCCGGCAGCAGCACAACAGCACACCAACGTCTCGTCTTTGGGAACCCAGGGAGCAACCTCGACCCACCGAGCGGGGAGGTCGCCCCACACGCAAAAGCAGCGCCTCAACCTGCACCCTCTGACGGGACAGGGAGGGGTCATTCCCACCAGCTGGATGGCTAGAGCAGCCGGCTGCAACGCCGCAGCCTCCCCACGCCTGATTACAGGGCGGGCGGGCCGCTCGGGGGACAGAGGGCTCCGCAGCTTGGGACACACGCCCCGGGTACGGGGCTGTCACGCCGCCAGCGGAACAGGCGCCCACGCAAGAACAGGCCCAAGCCCTGGCTACAGGGCGGCCTCGGCCACACAACTACCACGTGGCCCTGATCTACACCAAGTACAAAGGAGGAAGACAGGACACTCGCTGCGCTCGCGGGACTGAGAGGGAACACCCCTTTTGCGGCGTGCACCACAGTCCTCCGTTCCCCCCAGGGAAGTCGAAGCTAAGCTGCAGCCATCTTTGTGGGGGCCTAAAGGGAAAGCTCAGTCGCTCCGTCACTCCACAAACACAAACAAGGAAAGGAAGGGCAACACGCACACACAGAGGCGACTTTCCCAAAGGGAAGGACAACCCAGCGCAGCCAAACCCTGGGAATAAACCCACAACCGCGGGCAACAGACAAGAGCCTGTGACCTGTCCCTAGCCTGCACGGAGGCCACAGACCTCAACGTGCCAAGGGGCTTCCCAGCTAAAGCCAAAGGCCAGATGCCCTGACGCACACCCCGAGTACGGGGCCGTCGCATTGACAGGCCACCTCCAGGCAACGATGATGCCGAGGGGCCGGAGGAGGAAGAGGGCCGGGGAAACGGCACTACCCTGCTTACAGGGTGGCCTCGGGGTCCGGCGAGCTCCATTTCCCACTCAGGTGCGGAGAGGTGGCTCTCGCCCTGCGTTACAGGGGCCCACGCTCCCCAGGCAGCCAAAGGAGCAGCAAGGCAAAAGGCCAACTACAGCAAAAGCAAAGACCCGAGCCCTGCTTACAGGGAGGTCGCCCAGCACAAAGCCGGCCAAGGCGCCGGCAACGCTCAAACTCAAATGGGACTAAATGTGACTGCGGCCCCGCTAACGGGACGGCTGCTTTGCCCAGGGAGCCTCTCTCCTTCCCCCCCGCGTCTGCACGCTTCCGCATCCTCTTCTTGCTTGCTTGCTTGCTTGCTTGCTTGCTTGCGCGCTCGCTCCTGCCTCCCGCGTTCCCACGCCGCTTCTCCTCCTCTCTTCCGCAGCGGCTCCTGAAACAGCAGCGGGGACACCGTTAGAGCTGCGCAGCGGCAAGCCCCCCAGCGGAAGGAAAAGGGAAACCAACCCAACGTGGCAGAGGAACTCGGCACGCCACCGCACAGCCAAGGAAGGCCTTGCATCCCCCCTCCCCAGTTCACGCCAGCAAGAAATACTTGCAGCAGCTTTTCTCACCTCGCTGACGCACGGCGCGCTTCCAGCCGGTGCTGCGGGGGATCACAGAGGCGGGCAGACTGGGCAAATGGAGCTGGGCACACACACAGCAGCGGCCAAAGAGTCAGCTTCCCTGCTTACAGGGGACCCCCGGCCACTGCCTCCATTGCAAAGGGCCTGGGACTGCGGGGCACTGTCGCTCCCTGGCTTACAGGGCAGCCCCCATCCCTAGCGGCCGCGGGAGGCTCCTTCTCTCCCAGTCCGGGGGCACCTGGACCCGCACCCCGCTAGCGGGGCGGTCACCCCACACAGGCTGCCAGCTGAGCACAAGCGCTCGCGCACCCAGACCCTGATTACAGGCGGGTGGACGACACCCCTGGAGCCACAGAGCTCGGTTTCCCCCCCAGCGGCGGGAGCGACTCTCAGCTGCCAGGCAGCGGGGCGGCACGGCCAAATGCCGCGGTCGGGACCCCAGCCCTGATTGCGGGGAGGGCGCAAGCCCAAGCCCACGCCTCGCGGCCCCGTGCCTCTGAAAGGCCGGGGCCACATTCCCGCCTGAGTACAGGGGGTCTCTCACAACGCACCTCACCAAGCAAGCACACGCGGGGGGCACGCGCAGCCCTGCCTACAGGACGGTGCCCCCGCTGCCCACCCTCACCAAGAAGCCCCGCGGAGCACGAGGCTCCCGCCAACGCCTGAGCTACAGGCTGGCCCGCCCGGCAGCAGCACAACAGCACACCAACGTCTCGTCTTTGGGAACCCAGGGAGCAACCTCGACCCACCGAGCGGGGAGGTCGCCCCACACGCAAAAGCAGCGCCTCAACCTGCACCCTCTGACGGGACAGGGAGGGGTCATTCCCACCAGCTGGATGGCTAGAGCAGCCGGCTGCAACGCCGCAGCCTCCCCACGCCTGATTACAGGGCGGGCGGGCCGCTCGGGGGACAGAGGGCTCCGCAGCTTGGGACACACGCCCCGGGTACGGGGCTGTCACGCCGCCAGCGGAACAGGCGCCCACGCAAGAACAGGCCCAAGCCCTGGCTACAGGGCGGCCTCGGCCACACAACTACCACGTGGCCCTGATCTACACCAAGTACAAAGGAGGAAGACAGGACACTCGCTGCGCTCGCGGGACTGAGAGGGAACACCCCTTTTGCGGCGTGCACCACAGTCCTCCGTTCCCCCCAGGGAAGTCGAAGCTAAGCTGCAGCCATCTTTGTGGGGGCCTAAAGGGAAAGCTCAGTCGCTCCGTCACTCCACAAACACAAACAAGGAAAGGAAGGGCAACACGCACACACAGAGGCGACTTTCCCAAAGGGAAGGACAACCCAGCGCAGCCAAACCCTGGGAATAAACCCACAACCGCGGGCAACAGACAAGAGCCTGTGACCTGTCCCTAGCCTGCACGGAGGCCACAGACCTCAACGTGCCAAGGGGCTTCCCAGCTAAAGCCAAAGGCCAGATGCCCTGACGCACACCCCGAGTACGGGGCCGTCGCATTGACAGGCCACCTCCAGGCAACGATGATGCCGAGGGGCCGGAGGAGGAAGAGGGCCGGGGAAACGGCACTACCCTGCTTACAGGGTGGCCTCGGGGTCCGGCGAGCTCCATTTCCCACTCAGGTGCGGAGAGGTGGCTCTCGCCCTGCGTTACAGGGGCCCACGCTCCCCAGGCAGCCAAAGGAGCAGCAAGGCAAAAGGCCAACTACAGCAAAAGCAAAGACCCGAGCCCTGCTTACAGGGAGGTCGCCCAGCACAAAGCCGGCCAAGGCGCCGGCAACGCTCAAACTCAAATGGGACTAAATGTGACTGCGGCCCCGCTAACGGGACGGCTGCTTTGCCCAGGGAGCCTCTCTCCTTCCCCCCCGCGTCTGCACGCTTCCGCATCCTCTTCTTGCTTGCTTGCTTGCTTGCTTGCTTGCTTGCTTGCGCGCTCGCTCCTGCCTCCCGCGTTCCCACGCCGCTTCTCCTCCTCTCTTCCGCAGCGGCTCCTGAAACAGCAGCGGGGACACCGTTAGAGCTGCGCAGCGGCAAGCCCCCCAGCGGAAGGAAAAGGGAAACCAACCCAACGTGGCAGAGGAACTCGGCACGCCACCGCACAGCCAAGGAAGGCCTTGCATCCCCCCTCCCCAGTTCACGCCTGCAAGAAATACTTGCAGCAGCTTTTCTCACCTCGCTGACGCACGGCGCGCTTCCAGCCGGTGCTGCGGGGGATCACAGAGGCGGGCAGACTGGGCAAATGGAGCTGGGCACACACACAGCAGCGGCCAAAGAGTCAGCTTCCCTGCTTACAGGGGACCCCCGGCCACTGCCTCCATTGCAAAGGGCCTGGGACTGCGGGGCACTGTCGCTCCCTGGCTTACAGGGCAGCCCCCATCCCTAGCGGCCGCGGGAGGCTCCTTCTCTCCCAGTCCGGGGGCACCTGGACCCGCACCCCGCTAGCGGGGCGGTCACCCCACACAGGCTGCCAGCTGAGCACAAGCGCTCGCGCACCCAGACCCTGATTACAGGCGGGTGGACGACACCCCTGGAGCCACAGAGCTCGGTTTCCCCCCCAGCGGCGGGAGCGACTCTCAGCTGCCAGGCAGCGGGGCGGCACGGCCAAATGCCGCGGTCGGGACCCCAGCCCTGATTGCGGGGAGGGCGCAAGCCCAAGCCCACGCCTCGCGGCCCCGTGCCTCTGAAAGGCCGGGGCCACATTCCCGCCTGAGTACAGGGGGTCTCTCACAACGCACCTCACCAAGCAAGCACACGCGGGGGGCACGCGCAGCCCTGCCTACAGGACGGTGCCCCCGCTGCCCACCCTCACCAAGAAGCCCCGCGGAGCACGAGGCTCCCGCCAACGCCTGAGCTACAGGCTGGCCCGCCCGGCAGCAGCACAACAGCACACCAACGTCTCGTCTTTGGGAACCCAGGGAGCAACCTCGACCCACCGAGCGGGGAGGTCGCCCCACACGCAAAAGCAGCGCCTCAACCTGCACCCTCTGACGGGACAGGGAGGGGTCATTCCCACCAGCTGGATGGCTAGAGCAGCCGGCTGCAACGCCGCAGCCTCCCCACGCCTGATTACAGGGCGGGCGGGCCGCTCGGGGGACAGAGGGCTCCGCAGCTTGGGACACACGCCCCGGGTACGGGGCTGTCACGCCGCCAGCGGAACAGGCGCCCACGCAAGAACAGGCCCAAGCCCTGGCTACAGGGCGGCCTCGGCCACACAACTACCACGTGGCCCTGATCTACACCAAGTACAAAGGAGGAAGACAGGACACTCGCTGCGCTCGCGGGACTGAGAGGGAACACCCCTTTTGCGGCGTGCACCACAGTCCTCCGTTCCCCCCAGGGAAGTCGAAGCTAAGCTGCAGCCATCTTTGTGGGGGCCTAAAGGGAAAGCTCAGTCGCTCCGTCACTCCACAAACACAAACAAGGAAAGGAAGGGCAACACGCACACACAGAGGCGACTTTCCCAAAGGGAAGGACAACCCAGCGCAGCCAAACCCTGGGAATAAACCCACAACCGCGGGCAACAGACAAGAGCCTGTGACCTGTCCCTAGCCTGCACGGAGGCCACAGACCTCAACGTGCCAAGGGGCTTCCCAGCTAAAGCCAAAGGCCAGATGCCCTGACGCACACCCCGAGTACGGGGCCGTCGCATTGACAGGCCACCTCCAGGCAACGATGATGCCGAGGGGCCGGAGGAGGAAGAGGGCCGGGGAAACGGCACTACCCTGCTTACAGGGTGGCCTCGGGGTCCGGCGAGCTCCATTTCCCACTCAGGTGCGGAGAGGTGGCTCTCGCCCTGCGTTACAGGGGCCCACGCTCCCCAGGCAGCCAAAGGAGCAGCAAGGCAAAAGGCCAACTACAGCAAAAGCAAAGACCCGAGCCCTGCTTACAGGGAGGTCGCCCAGCACAAAGCCGGCCAAGGCGCCGGCAACGCTCAAACTCAAATGGGACTAAATGTGACTGCGGCCCCGCTAACGGGACGGCTGCTTTGCCCAGGGAGCCTCTCTCCTTCCCCCCCGCGTCTGCACGCTTCCGCATCCTCTTCTTGCTCCTGCCTCTCGCAGCAGCTCCTGAAACATCAGCAGGGACACCATTAGACCTTCCAGAGTGGCCAGCCCCCCAGCGGAAGGAAAAGGGAAACCAACCCAACATGGCAGAGGAACTCGGCACGCCACCACCCAGCCAAGGAAGGCCTTTCCTCCCTTCCTTCCCTCTCTCCCCCGGCACCAGCCCTTCATTCCAAAAAATTTGGTTAGAGCAGTTTTTCTCACCTCACTGACGCATGGTGCACTTCCAGTTGGTTCTGCAGGGGATCACAGAGATCGGTAGAGCGGCCAAGTTTATCTGGCAATACAAATAGCAGCAGCCCAAGTGTCAGCTGCCCTGCTTATAGGGGACCCCCCGTCTGCAACTTCATTGGAAATACAACAGCTTTTATTATATTAATTGGTCTGCATAAAGTCAACCACTGTGCCATCTTGGCACTTCTGAATTGTGAATCTTTCCCATCGGTTCAGGAGGTTCTTTTGCCTCTTGTTTCTGTCCTCTTCTGGTTCCAGCTGCTATCAATTCATCTAATTTATCATTCACCAATTCATACCCATAAGTGGTGTGAAGTTACAAGCGAATTTGCAGCTTATAACATCTACTGCCATGGATTATCTTAAAGTAGAATACAGAATACAGGCGCTGAAGGCTAAATGTTTTTCTTAGCTTCTCCTCTTTCTCTGCTATAGAGCTTCTTTAACACATTGATATTGTTAAAAGCAACAACACCGTTTTACTTCTTCCCCCTTTTCACCAGCAATGCACTTCTCGTGTCCTCCCCCATTTCCACCACGCCATTGGAAAGCAGAGAGTAAAAGCCGCGCGCTTCAACACTGCGATAGCATTTCTTATGTTTTATTATTGCTGCTCGCCGCTGCCTCGGTGCGTCTTCTTCCACGTGGCGACTCGCCCCGCTTGTCGCGCCTGCGCGCCTCCTCTGGGAGCGCGCTCAGAGCTGCCTGCGCTCGGTGCCGCCTCGGAGACCCAGGCTCCGCCCGCCCGCCCGCCAGCGGAGCAGAAGAGGCGGCTCCAGCCCCGGCTCCCTCCCGCCAGCAGAGCCCCACAGGCGGCTCCAGCCCTGGCTCCGGCTGCTCCCGTCGGAACCCGCGCGGCAGCGGCTCCAGACCCGGCCCCGACCCGCTTCGCCCCGGCCCCGACCCGCCGCGTCCCTGCGCCCGCCGCGCCGCGCTTCGTCCTGGCTCCGCCGCACCCCGGCCCCGTCGCTCCTCTTCTCCGGAGTCCGCTTACCGTGTCCGCCTCCGCCGCCGCCTCCGCCGCCGCCTTTCCCTCACAGCACCCCGCTTCTCCTCACGCGCTGTGGAAAAAGTCTCTCTCACCTGCCCGCGCGCGCACCTTATATGGGCATTCAGCCCGCCAGCCAATAGGAGCCCCGAACGCCGCCGTCGCTTCGCGCGCTTTGCTTCCTGCCGCTCGCTGTCCTTTCCACTCAGCGTTCCCGCCCTTTCTAGCCGAGGGCAGCCGGGCCGGGGTCATCTGAAGGTCACGCCCGGGGTCACCCTGAGGTCACGGCCCCCCTCGCAGCCGTTGCCTCCCGGCCCTGGGGGCAGAGCCGCCCCACAGCTGATGGCACCTCGCTCGGAGCACCTGGCAGCGCTGCCCGTGGGAACTCAGTCCTTCCATTTCAGTACTGCTTTTAACTAGTGTTACTTACCGCTACCGTGCATTGGGAACAGCAACACACACAGGTGTTCCTGCCTCAGTGGTGCCTGTCCCAGACATCATTAAAATAGAAATACCTACTTTTAAGGAATTCTTCTCTGCGACACCTCCCGTCTCTGCCCCCGCAGCGAAAATCCCTCAGAGAAACTGCGAGTAAGGGAAAACTGTGACAGGAGCTGAGGGCTGCTGTATGGAGGACTCCATTTATTTGTTGTCTCAGGCTGTTCGTGTTCTGTAGAGCTGCTTGTGTTTTACAGCTTCTTCCCGCAGCACGGCTGGAAATGCCCACCTTTGCTCCATTCCTTTCCTTCTGTCCTTGGCTACATTCTTTCTCATTGTAGCAACGGTACAAAAGAGGAGTAGGGAAGAGAATACAGAATAACTGCTGCTCCCACCCAGGCCAAAATAGAGTGTAGCAACAGCAGGAACGACTCAGCTGTGAGGAAGAGGTTCCTTGCAGGGAATCTTTTGCCCGGCTAGTAACCCAGGCAAACGGAGCGCCCTGGAGGAGGAAGGCACCAGGACCCGAGGGAACCGGCTGCCTACAGCTGCTGTATGGCACCAGTGCAACCTGCTGGTTGGCCTAGGCTGCGCTGAGCAAAGGCAAATTCTCCTGGGCCACGTACATTTGCTCCAAAAGTAATGCCTCCTATTTATTTCCATGGAAAACGCAACAGGGAAAGCAGTAATTCCGGTTGCTACAGCAAATCCTCACCCACAAAATGCTCTTTTCCAACATAGCCACCACCGTTAGCTTTGCATTTTTGCCAGCAATAAACAGGAGGCTGCGAGCTGTGCTCGTCAAAATCTGTACCAGCACACGTGAGCCACAGCCACCGTCAGCACTGCTGAAAGGCACTGCATGCTGCCCCTCTGTGAGTACACACACAAGCGCTCAGCAAGCACAGAGAGCTGCCATTTTCTCCACAGAGAGGAATTCCATGACACATCTTTGCTTCATGCACACTGCCTGGGTGTCAGGTGCCATTTTGTCACATGCCATGGACAACAACACGTGATGGAACATTGGTTGGAGGTTCAACCCCTGCTGCCACAGCACCCAAATTCACTTTTGATGTCGTGGGCCAACACTAACTCCTTAACACTTAGTGCACTACATGATGTGAAGGAGCAACAACAATCTATCGTAAAACTACAGCAAGGGATTGATCTGAAAGAGCACATGAGAACAGCAGTCATAGATTCACACTGAGGCATTCATTGTTCAAGATCTTGTCACTTTCACCTGGCTTGGGGCATGGTTTTGCCCTGGACTAGCCAGAGCGTTTTTCAGGACCAGAATACTAAGGTGACTGAGGTAGAACCACCATCCCAGAAACCCAAACCACAGCAGAACCGCCAGTTTGTAGTCACCCAAGGATCGTTATGCTTGGTCACCTCTAGGTTTAAGTTTTACTGACCTTTCTAATAGCTCCATTCTAGATTGGATTTGGTAACAGCTGATAGAACAAGCCAACTGATAGCTTTGATAGAACGTGTGATTCTCTGCTGTCAAAATGCATGTTTCCTGTTGACTGTTACAGGAAAAAGTTTCAAAATTCAATATCCGAAGGTCAAGATTTTCAGAAATACCTAAGCAACTTAAAAGCCTAAGCTCTTTTTAGGCACTTGTAAACAAACTCAGCTTTTATACAGAGAAAGAACAGGTACAGCACCACTCCCCAGAAAATGCATTCCAACACAAAGGACAGCAGAACATACTAAAAACATTAACAGGACTTGTACTGTTTTTCAGGCCATTACTTCTGTTTATATATGTGTGTGTATATTATAGTTTGTATAGATGTTTAAGCTATTTTCATGAAATGGAAGTTTATCTAAGATCTGCTACAGGTAAGTAGGTTTTGGTTGTGCTCAAGCTGTTTCTGGAAAGGTGGAGAACAATAATATTTATGCCTTGGAAGACCTGATTCGGGGCATTCATTTTCTAGTTTGAAGCTTAATTTTGTTTCTAGTTTGAAGTATTTTGAGAAATACCACATAAGGTAGTCGAGAGTAAGAAGTCATTAATAGTATGTACATTTATTTTGAAGCTCATACACTTCCTGCATCCCCCAATGGGACTGGCTACGTAACACTAAATAATAATACTTATGAGTCACCAAAGGGATTTCTCAAGCTAACATGACATCACAAAGGTTCTCCTCATCATGTTATAAGACAGTAATTATATCACAGTATGTATTAGTGATTATATTCCTTCAGTTCCACCGCTCTTCTTACTGCCTGTGATTATTATCTATCACAAACTGAGTTACAAAGCTATGAGATAAGGTTGAGAGGAACAGCTGGAGTTTTGGTTTTTTTTTTTGGTTTTTTTTTTTTTTTTGTTTTGTTTTTACATTCTTAAATCCACATTTTATGTTACATTCAGAAAGGAAAAAAAATAAGACTAGCTTTGGAGGCTATCTGCTGCCTTTCATGGATACAGCTTGTTCTTCAGGGACTTCCAGATGCACACATTATAACGATAACTAGATGGATGGAAATAAGCACAGAGGCACTCAGAACTCCTGACATTAACTCAATTTAAAGGGACAGATTTCCTTCTGATTTGTTTTTGTCTGAAAAAGCAAACCAGCACTTTTGGGAAGACAGTCAGTAAATGCAGAGGACTGAAGAAGTATTGTCTATATTGGCTTTTCTTACAATAAATAAATAAACCTGTTTTTAAAAGTCTGCTCCTGTAAACAGGCTGCATTTTAAAAAAAGCAGGGTTGTGATCTGAAAAAAGAACAACTTTTCCCAGGATATACAGTAAAATAAAACATCTGTCGTCTTTCAATAATCTATCACTACTCATGGGATGCCCTTGTGTATGAAAAGCTTAAATTGTTTAAACCCACAAATGGAAGAGACAGAAAGCACCAGAGGCAGCACCAACTGCCATCAGCACTGATTAGCGCAGGAATTTTCTGTCAAACTGTGCAACTTGCTCAGACATAAATCCGCTTGACTTTATTACCAACACCCCATCCTGTGCTGCTTTCAAAGAAGAAAAAAAAAAAAAAAAAAAAAAGCCAACAAAACCGATGTATCCCAAACCTGCAGAGCAAGGACATGAGTGCACAATTTATTTTTTAGTCTCACCATTAAAACAAACAAAAATCAGAACCAAAGAAAATGCTTCCAGACTTCTCTGTCAGCTCTATTCTAATTCACAGATCATCAGCAATACAGACATCTTGCTGAGAAGGTGAAACATCCCCGTGTTGTAATTCCATCACAACTGTCAGCCTAACACTTCTCAGGATTAAAGAATTATTTGACAAAGAACCCTGGCAGCACTGGCAACTTTAAATGAGACGTAAACAAAGTTTTCATCTGGTGCTCTTTACCTTGCTCTACAGGACCTTTACCTCAGTTTCTACTATAAAGTCACAATAATTATGGAACACGTTAGAAAAAAAAAAAAAAAAAAAGGCATTTGCTAAACTCTCTGGAGCCAATACCCAATGCATCTACTTGAAGTTTCTCACGTTGCTCTAATTTACAAAGCAAGCAACTGAAAATTAAGCAGAGAAGCCAAGCATTTCTTCAGCAAACTATCAGACGCTCATTCTTCAAGCTGCTCATCTTCCCTACAGTTCAGAACATCGGGGCTGTGGCTCAATTTTTAAATAGAAAAGCACTGAATATTCCCTTTACACACTCTTCCTCATACTTGTGCATGATTAACAGGAAATTTATATAGCCTGAATCACAGCACACAGGGCAACATTCTGCAAGACTGGAATCCTCATAAGACTAGGATGAGATAATATGCAACTAGAAATAATACTGTAACCCAAACTGAATTTATTTGTATTGGCAGCAAATGGAAGAAATGAAAGGAACCAGACATTAATAGAGCCATTCTCTCACTCTAGCGTCAAATTAAAATATTCTGGTTGTGTTTTTGGAGTTCAGAATACTGCAGCCTTGCCACGGCTTTGAAATTTCCAAAATCCTACGCTCCTTACATTCAACCAGCTACCTTTTGCGATCCACAGTATTGGTCTAAAGAAGTAGAGTCAACTAGAAAGAAAACAACAACAATTAGGACTATCAAAATTCACTGAAATTTGAATCAACAACTGGGAATAGACAGTACTCAGACAGACTCTTGCTGGTGGCATTCAATCCATTTGATCAGTGTGAACAATTTGGAGGTGTTCAAAGAGTTCAAATCGCAGCCAACTGCAGGCTGCAGTGGTGACCTACTGTAAGTTGCATCAACTGGTAACAGCTACTCCTGTCAAGCTTTGCAGTCACTGTTCTGTTACTCTGTTCTTCCTACTGTCTCACTTAATGCAGTTAGCAACAGTCAATAATCCTTGCAACTGTATCATACAGAGGTCTCCGCTGAATTAACTGCACTCACAACAATCTAAAACCAACAAATGAACAAAGCCACAAATACCACTAGCAACACACACACACATACCACTTCCAGGAGCAGGGTTTGAGCAAAGTAGAGTTGCATGCATTCAGTAGCATAAAGCAGCTGGACAAAGCTGCGCCTGAGAGATTCTATTATATTGCCAGTACTGAATACCAGAAAGGAACAGTACTGTTGCTAGAAATCTGTGTATTAAAGAGAAGTTTGTCATCATCCACGCTTGTCCTGAGCACTAATTTTGAGGTTGCAAAACTCCAATTAATTATTTTCCCTACACTCCTCACAGCACACACTCATAAATGACTTGGTATGTCTTTCCTCACCTACTTAAAGGCTTGATGACTGAAGATTGTGTAAGAAATGTCCAACTGGGAACATTCACAGAAATTCTGCATAGCTTGAGGCAAGAGTGTATACACACAACAACTAAACGTTGTTTTGTGTTTGCAGGATACGTTGTAAAGGAGGGCTTGCAACTGAGAGCATTTTACTAGAGCAAGATCGCCGTGTATAAAGAAATATGGAAGAAGCTTAAAACTGAAGCTCACTTTTTCTCTTCCCTGTTTACTGCTGTTGAGATCATCTCTAGAGACCAGTCTTGCAAAGTAAAAAGCTGAGTGAAGAAAGCATTCAGTACCTCAGTCTTCTCTCTCATGTTCTGTGTCACAAGGGCCCCACCTCAATTAGTAACAGGGCCACATTTCACTCTGGGGTCCCTTTGGGGTCCCTTTTCGGGTCACAGCTTCTCCCCCAACAGGGACACCTGCTAAACAACGACCATGAGCTGCAGCACAAACCCTCTGGGAGCTGCACTGCACACCATTTACGTACAGGCTTCTCTCTAGCACCAAATGAAAGGCTGCTCGACCCTCCTGAATAAGGGCCAAGCTGCACTGATGGCTGTAAGCACCCTGGGGTCAGTGGAAGCTAACCAAACTGACAGAAGCTCCCAGAGATTCCTTCGGCCCAAAGCCTTTTGGCTCCCCCTTACCTTGATCTGATCTAGCATTAAGGCCAAAAATTACAGAAACTCCCTTGACAATTTATTCTACAGCTTACCTGTTTACAGACAAAAGCTGTATGTTTTGTAAGTGCCATTTAAAAGGACAAGCTGTACATAAGGCTCCTGGCCCCACGCAAACTGTTTTTCTTCCTTGAAGCAGAGAGTGCCTTCATAGCACAGAGCACGGTTTTGGAAGCAATAATTACTACAAAAAAACAAAACTGGGATCTGTGGTGCAAAAGCAATGTACAAAATGTGTATAAACAGATCAGAGTTGGAAAGTTGTAGGTGTTTCCTAAATGGCACAGCACAATTATCCCCCCTAAGAGAGAGAAAAACACACAGAAACACCTCTAGATTTGACACCTACAAAACTGCAAATGGATTTTGTTAAACGATGTTATCCAACTTAAGATAAAGGGCGCTGTGCATTGGTAAAGCTTAGCATGTGGCAATTCTTACATTATTTTCCAATAATTAACATCACCCTCCTGTCATTTTACCCGCAGACTGCAACATTGAACAGGTTTTCACTGACAATATCAGTTCCCCCAACACGGTATAAAGATCACAAATTCATCAACTGTCAATGCCACTACCATGTGAAATCCACATTAAAGAAAAAAAAATAAATAAGGATTTAAGAAGAACAAGACTTGTTAGAACGTATATGCTGACCTTCACTGCTCAGGGCAATTACACACCAAAGTAAAACAAGGGGCCAGCAAAATCATGGCACTCCACCGTCTCGATTTAATTAAAAAATAGCAGAATGCACTGGAGTAGCATGAAATTCAGAAGCCTTTTGTCAGGCTGGAACATGGTAGGCTGGCTGGCACCTGTTTGGAAAGATACTAAAATGTAACTCTTATGGTCCACAGAATTTGCTGTTAAACACTTTCAAGATACAAAGTGACAGCCAGCTAGATGAATAGGAGAAAGTCTGTAACCGCTCAGAACTGCCAGAGCCAGGCCGGCACAGCTGGGCTTGGACTAGGCACTGAGAGGAACTTCAGACGGTGTTTATACGTGCTTTAAAGATTCACATTAATTTCCACGGGGGCACCACTTAGTGCAGGTGAGCTGTACAAGTCCTCTCATTTCCATTTATATTCTATTCCACGCTTAATATGCGTTGCAGGAGAGATGCTGCACTGAAACATAGATTGTTCTGATCTTAAAATGAATCTTGTTGGTACCAGCAGGTAACCCAGCAAGGTCTGTTTCCACTCTGCACGAAGACAGAATACTCAAGACTGTTCAAGTCTTTAACTGTCACGTAGATTAGCTCAACTTCTGCTCAGAAAACTTTCAGAACATGTTGCTGCTTTAACCAGAGCTCTTAAAGCTCTGCTTGGACACGTTCTAGTAGCACTCATTGCCTGCTTACCACAGAGATGCTCTCTGTGAAGGGCATCCCCAGCCTCATTTCCACTTCAAAGCAGAGAAATCATTCTCAGAGCTGTAGTACCAGTAGTTCACTCAAATGACCCTTACCGGAGCTCAAGTAAAAGTCACAAGAAAAGACCCCTTTCCATCCACATTTGATACTGAAGAGCAGTCCCCTTATTTCTCATTGCCCCAATTTAGAGACTGAAAGGCTGCTATCAGGTCACCTTGGAGCTTTCTCTTCTCCAGGCTTAGCAGCCCCAGCTCTCTCAGCCTGTCCTTGTAGCAGAGGCATTCCGTCCCTTGGGTCGTTTCTGTGGCCTCTGGATGTGCTTCAACAGGTTCGTTTCTCTCCTGTGCTGAGGATTCCACATCTGGATGCAGAACTCCCAGTGAGGTCTCACCAGCACAGAGCAGAGGGGCAGGACCATCTCCCTTGTCCTGCTGGTCACACTTCTTTGGATGCGGCCCAGGGTACAGTTGGCCTTCAGGGCTGTGAGGGCACATTGCAGGCTCACGTTCAGCTTGCTGTGCAGCAGTACCCCCAAATCCTTTTCCACTGGGCTGTGCACAATCCTTTTGTTCCCTGGCATTTAGTGATAGCAGGAGTCAGCGTGATTGTGGTGCAAAACCTTGCACTTGACTTGGCTGAACCTCACGAGGTTCACCCAGTCCTCTGCTCAAGCTGTTTGGGCCCTGAAAATAGAGTAGCTGGGTTACTCACCTTTAAAGAGGTTTTCAGGAAACAGAACGTCACAAGACATTTGTGCTTCTCCTAAGACCGCTTAAATTATGGGCAAGAAGAACAGGCATTTCAAATTAAGGGCAAGAATAATGTACCTGCTGTAGGGAACCTGCTTTGGCAGGGGAGTTGGACTCGATGATCTCTGGAGGTCCCTTCCAACCCCTACAATTCTGTGATTCTGTAATAACAGCCATGGTGCTATTATCTGTTGTGCAACACAAGAACATCTTCAGATGAATCTTCAGGGAAGGATGAAGTCAGTTGCTAAAGACAGGATGTATTGCCATAGGCATACCTAAGAGCGATTTAGAAACACGATGAAATCCTTTTACATCTCTTCTTTCTCCCTTTCCTGTGAACTGTCTGGCTTGCAAGACTCAACAAGTAATGAGAGCGATGTAATCAGGCTTCTTTAGTTTGCAGTGAGATTTCCCATGGGAATCAATAGAGTTTAAAGAGGCTGTCTGAAGACAATTCATAGCTTCTGGCTGCAAAGACTCCGCATGCTTGATAGGAGTAATTTGCTGGTTTTTCCAACACCCATGATGTGTCAAAAGTCACATCAGAGTTGAAGTTTTCTGGGCATCTTTTAGGTTTGTGTCTGACAAATCTTTATTCATGGATTATATTGTTTGTTAGTAGGGGAGTTGGTTGTTGCTTGGCTTAAGTTTTTTGGGGTATGGGGCTGTTGACTGAAAATTGCACTATCTCAAAAGAGATTATTTTTTTTGGGTGGGGGGCGGGTGCAGGTCAGTAACGGAAATTTTTCCTGCCCTGGCTGCCTCCTGCCTCCCACCCTCCCTGGTTGTCCCCCCCCTCCTGCCTACCCTCCCTGGTCGCCCCCCCTCTCCTGCCTATCTGGGGGTCTTATCCCTGGGTCCTGGAGTGGTCCTGTGTGGTGATGGCTCCTCTGTGGTGGTTTTCCTGGTCCTGAAGGTAGGAGATGGAGTTGGGTTCTGTGTCCTGCTGAAGGAAAAAACTCAGTTTATTTCAAGCCCCAGGTAAAACCTGTTTGAAACTGTGACATGGGAGGGTGCTTGCTCTGTGGAAATTTCATGTGCCTGGAGGGGTGAGGGGGCATTTTGCTCTTAACAGGGTTTGGGTAAGTGGATGGAAGTGAAGTGCTCCGGGGGTGTCTCAGTATATGTCCTGCATATGCTACGGCTGGCTTACAATATCAACAGGCTAAATAGGCTGAGAGGGCAAAGAAGTCACAGAGCTGCAATTTTCTTCCTTCTTTACCATCTCCTCTTGGAGATTGGTCTAAAAGGAAAATAAAGTGAAAACGCTCATGGAAGCTCCTTTTGAGGGTGCTCTCTGAGGCCAGCTCAATTATTATATGAATAAATGTATAAAACTCTATGTGTGGGTAAGGTTTTACTCAGCATTTAAGAGCATGCTTCCTCCAAAATGCACCCAATTGAATCACTGGGCAGGTGACTTTATGTTGTCTAAATGTATAGTGAAAAGCTAAGTCTCCTGCTTTGAGAAGTCTATCGCTACAGTTTCATTTTGGCTAGAAATGAGAGGAGGTCTTTTAAATATAATTAATTGTTCGCATTTCAACATGTGCCTCCAAAATGCTGGTAACTAAGCTTGCTTCTGTGAGGTGGAAAGCCAGTGACAATAACTCCCTTTTTGTGGAAGAATTATTGGCGTATGGAGGCTTTTTGCAATGACTTTCTACCGCAGATGTGAATGCCCTGTGTTGTGTGTGAGAACTAGAACGTCTATGAATGTCTGTGCTAAAATGGAACGGCTAGGCTCAGCTAGCTCCAGTTCTTGTGGTGAAGTGGGTACCTGTCTGTCTCTGACTGAAAGCAACAGTAAATCCTTGCTTACCTCCCAAAGAAAAGGATGCGGTGTCTGTTCCTGTGCTTGAGCCTTGTTCCCTTGCTGCTGATCTTGTTTCGTGGGTAACACGAGGAGGGAGAAAAATGATCCCATAAGCAATGGGCTGTTTGGCACGGCAAGCTCTGTGAAAGAAACACTTAATAGACTGAGTAACAAATACTTACTGCAGAAATGTAAGTAACTTGTAAGTGTCAGACTGGCTTTACTCACTGAATGAAGTCACCTGCTACGGTGCCAGTGTTTGTACCTTTGCAGCTGTATTTCTGGATAGAAGTTTCTTGAGCTTCCTGAGCTGGCTGGAGAGGGGAGTGGCAGCAACCGTCTTTCAGGAGGAAGAAAAGACTCTTCCTTTTTTGAGATGAGTTCACTGAGCACTCTTTGCACTCTCTGGTTTCTTCCTAGGTAACCTGAACTAGTGCTTCTCGGCAAAGCCCTTTTGCGTGGAATCTTGGGAAGTTAGTTACTGTGAACCTTTGTCCCCAGCCGAGGCTGAGCTCTAACGTGAATGACAAAAATACCCTGTGCTTGCTTCTTGAGCTTCTCTGGGTCTCTTTGGATTGCATCCTCTTCCTCAAATGCATTAGCTGCGTTGGACAGTGTGGTGTCACCTTCAAACTTGCTGAGGATACAGTTGATCCCACTGTAGGTGTCGCTGATGAAGGCATAAAGAGCGTAAGTCCCACTACTGACCCCTGAGGGACACCAGTCATCACTGATCGGCTTCTAGGCATGGCTTTGTTCTCCTCATCCGCTGAACAGCCTGGCCATCAAATCAAAGAAGGCTCTGCGATGCGTTTCCTTGGGACCCACCAGGTTCCTCAAGCAGCTGCGAAGCTGGTCTTTGCTTGCGGTGGGAGGGATGCAGTCCTCACCTTTCAGCCCCTGCACTCAAGGGGGCGGTGAAGAGCAGCTGCCAATAAAGAATGAAGCAGAAGTGTTGTTAGGTACCTCAGCTTTCTCCTATTATTAACAGCCTGCCTGTATTGCTCGCTGGGGTGTGTATGCCGGCCTGGGCTTGGTTTGTTTACCTGTGTTTTTCTTGGCAGCCCGAGTGCCGCTGCAGGTTTGTCAGCATCTATTGCAGTAATACAGGGCTCTATCAGCAATGGAAGCAATAGGGCCTGAGGGATAAACAGTTACTAGCCTTCTAGAAATAGCAAAACTGAAGTTACCAGTCTTGCAGCTCTTTCAAAGGTGCTAAAATGCAAACCTCTGATAGAAAAAAAAAAATAATAATAATTAGAAAGTCAGTATTTGCCAGTCTTAACTGCACTGTGGCATTGCAGGTCATGGCATTTGCTTTATAAAACATGTCCTATGAAATGTAGAACTGCAGACAAATGCTGAAAATGATGTCTGCTCGGCAATAAATGAAATGCTGGTACAGATCTGAGTGGTGGTGATTTTCAGCTGCGCAGAATGTGGTTATACTTAATGCCGCAAAAAGCAGCGGCTCCAACTGAATTTCAGGGACATTAAGAACCAAATTTCACTCTCCTCCTCAGAAGGAGGTGGGATGTATGCTGGAAAAGGCTGTGCCAGTTTGAGCGCTGTAAAAAGTTCTTTGTATGCCAAAGGAGAAGATTTGCCAGCAATTCGGCACAATCAAGGACAAAACTAAAAGAAAATCTTATTGACTGGATGAAAAATAAATAAATAAAGGCTATCATGAACCCACTACCAAAAGCTTCCATTAAACAGCTAGTTGAAAAGCAACAGCCCTTACTATTTACTTTTCCCCTCTCTGTCTCTATTGCGTCCCTCCAAACTTAAGCACACCAAAAGCAGTTTCCCACATCCATGCCACAGAATACTTTTTAAGTACTGGCTTGTGACCTGAAGGAACAGCATCACAGAAAATGCAGTGCAGATGAGGGCAGTGCAAAGCATGCTTGCAGAACAAGGTCCACCTTCAGCATGCGTTAAACTGGATGAGCAGTGGCCTGTGGGGCACATGGAACCAAATATTTCTGTACAAACCAGTGAGTGCTGCCCATTGGGGGCCAACAGGATTTCACGTAACAGTCACGTTCACATCTAAACTAATCCAGCATAAAACTGAAGTTGCTTGAGTAACCCCAGTTATTATGATTATGTATTTCTGATTGAATATCCCACCTTAGCATTTGATTGCAAATGAGAGCTAATTCAAGATCTACATATATTTGAGATCTGTTCCAGTGCTCAAGCAGCAGAGAGGCTTCCTAGGTGCTGGGACACATGCATGCAATCTGTACTTCAAAGAAAACCTCAGACACAAAACATGACAAGGGATGAGCCTGCTTGCTGCGTGTGCTCTGGGTTACATTACTCATTCCCCTTTTGAGCATCCGCATTGCTACCACAGAGGAATAGGAGCACTTACTGTTCAGGTCAGTGCTTGCAGAAGTACACTTTTCAGATAAGCTGTCACTGACTTAAAGAGAATCCTTCTTGGGTGGAATTCCCATAAAACCCACAGTGCTCTGTACTTAGCTGAAGTTTATATAACCTAAAGGATATACCAGCAGAGCACAGCATAATTTGGAGTACACTGCGTGGTGGAGTGGGAAGTTTTCTTGGCTCGTGCAATATTAAGAGAGAAGGCAGATCATTCCTTACTGAACACTGGCAGAGATTTCCAGAAGAAAAGGTGATTTCTTTTCTGCCTTACCCATCACATTTTCAGTATCTGCCCTTCAGAGCAGCTTTATTTCTGCCCCGAGCATTTTTTGCATTTTTTCCTGTTTACCTAATTTTAGGCACCTTTATCATCACTCTCTGCGCACACACACACACATATATATGTATATATACACACATACATATATACATGGCAAAGGAAGCATTTAATGCTTGACTTCCAGTTGTACCCAGCTTAGCCCTCATTAAAAGTACAACTCTTTCTGTCCTTAGGCCACAGTATCGCAAACAGAAAATAAATACAGCTTTAGCAGCTGTGGTGCAGAAGTTATCTCCACCTATTGTTTTATCCAATGACATAACATTGCAGTATTATGTTGGCACTCATAGGGGTTATGCACACTTCTCCACGTGTTTAATCAGCCTCAATAAATGCCTTAATGCTGCTGCTTCCTACCATAAACATGATAAAACTCAAAGCTGGCAGTTCAGCTTTTTTCTCTCTACAGCCCAGTAATCTGAAATAAACCTCACCTGAAAATGGAGTGAATGATTCTCCTCACTGGTGCTCGCAACACATTCCCTGCACTTACTCCGTTGTTTCTTTGCATTTGTAGTTGATTTTTTTTCCCCATGCCCACAGTCCAGAGCAACATCACTACATGTTGTGTGAATTCAGCGGCCGGTTTGGATTTTCAAGATGCAGCACAGTGGAAGCATACTGAATGGTGTAGGTGGGACTAATGATGCAGTTGGAATGGAAGCCCACACTACATCTCTAATTTACCGATACCAAACTATTTTGCGCTGCAAAGCATAGAGAGCTCCGTGCACCCTCTTGAGATGTTTATGCTAGTAGGTTTTAGGAAGGACAAGGCTGCTGTGGTTGCTTGTGAAATCTATCAGTTTTAACGTTCTGAAGTTGTCCAGAGACTGGCGCTATCTTCTCAACAGAAAAGCTGCCACGATTCCCGTGGAGTTGTGTTGGGATGGCAGCGTATGAAAGACACGAGGACAATTACTGGTGCTCATTTTCAACCTTTCAAATGTGTTAGTATTATTTCAGGAGAAGCCTAGAAACTCATATCATTGAAGTAGAGAAAAGACACTGAATGAGAAAGTTGAGTTAAAAGTGAGCCACGTTACTGAGAAGGGAAAAACTCCTTGGAAAAATCCTAGTTGCTTTCTAAATACTGTCTCTGTCAACTCAGACCACCCCAGCATGGGCTGCATTACTGGAAGAATTGCCTTCAGCATCTACTCATTTCCCAGCTTGTCTTCTGAAGCTGTTCCTAACCACGCAGAGTCTAGCAACCAATGCTTTTAAACCTCTGCCTGTACTCCTCCTTGTTGGCCTCGAAACTTCAATGATTGAAGTGAAGTGTCCATCTTTGCTCTGCTCAACTGCTGATCATTGCTTTCTTGAGCTGAAGAAACATTTCTCACAATGTTTTCTTCTTGTAGCTTCATCTAGTACAGCACTGACTGATCCGATTCACTTTAATGCGTTTTATTCATTCCTTACGTGCAGTTTGGGGTCTGTGTGGTTGTGCTACTGATTTGCATTTAAAAAAATGTGTGAAAGAGACACGTGGAGAAGAACTCAACATAAAGTCAGTGTGTAAGTTGGAATTAAATGTTACTCTTCAAACACAGGTAATCACTTCTCATGTCTTGTAGGGTGTATGAAAGCAAAGTCTGTAGGAACAGATAAAAACCTCTTGAAACAGAACCACCTTCAACATTCTGGCAGTTTTCTCTAAGGAAAATATGTTTCCCTACTTTAGAAGCTCAAAACACCCAAACAAAATACAAGTAACAGGAAAAAAATAAAAACCAAAACACTGAAAATGTTACATAATGCAGGTTGAAACACCTGTGACTCTGCAAACAGGATGTAATTTCACTAGAAAGACCATCCGGGTTCTCTCTGTTCCCTCTCAGTCAACAAGTGAGTTCTGTACCAGCAGCCCCTTCCTACCTCAGTCACTTTGTGCTTGCAGTTGAGGCAAACAGATCCTGTCAACTGCTGATCTTACTGAAGGTAGCAATCTACCTATTGTCTCTGACTAATTTTTCCTCTCAAAGACATTGTTCTGTCAAAGAAAATCTGAAGACTCAGCTGGGACTACCCACATCTGAGTACACCGACGCTCCAGTTGCAGGGCTTTTTAGCTCATACATGTATCTGCAAGGTGATTTTCAGTCTGGAAGGTGGATAACAAGTCAGTATCTCCCATTTTTAGAAGGCAGCCTATGCATAAGCCTTGCCTGCTGATTTGCTTTGCTCTATGAATATCCCTGGGTTATTGTTGTTCTAGCAATGATGCGGATACTAAATCATTGTCAAAACTATGGGGAAACCTGTAGCACCTGAACTTGCTAAAAGATGCAAACAAGTTTATCCTCTTCTTCTATGGAAAAGAGACAGAGGAAGTGGCAGGAATGTGTGCCTTCGGCTGCCACTTCTGGAGTTCTAGTAAGCTTCAGCTGGCACAGCTGAAGAAGTATAGAAGGGAAGAAACTCAAGAAAGAGACAGCTAGTAACATGCATTCCTCATTCCGCAACAACCAAACCACCTGTACACTATGAACTCAGCCTCAGCTAGCACTATAATTGTTATTCACCAGCGCCACAATTGAAACTTACAGAAAGAAAATCCAATGCAAAG